CGACAATCCGACAGTCGCCAGCCGCACCATCACCACCCACCCCAACTCAGCAAGCGAAGCGCCAACTGTTGGCAAAAAGCCTGAGGGTAATCCCAAATTTGAACAGCTCGTCGCCCGCGGAGAGGAACCCCGTGATCATGAGTACCCGGGCAAAGTTGACACCAAGAAGAACTGATCCATGGACAAGAAGTGAGCAACCGCCTAGCCTTTTTGTTGGGGCTAGCAGCACCAGTCCACTGGCACCAGGCGAACTTCACGCCTCTTGAGTAGCAGCTGAGTTTCATGAAGGGCCCACGCCCGACTGTTCCGAGGATGTTCAATGGTGAAAGGGATGCCCAATGATAAACACAGGTGGGCAAGGCTAACATTTGCAGCCACAGCCGATTCTCTAACGCAACCTCCGGACGGCTGCATCACCTGCTGGACTTCCACCCGGACGAAGGGGCCCACCATGATCCAAGTTACGAAGAGGAGAGAATGAACCTCGCGGTGGAGACATCCAAAGCCAACCCACCTCACCATTTTTCAGCGCCTCTTCAACCGCAGGGATCCATGCGTCAAGCACCCCAACAACATCAACAACCTCTCTCATGGGCGCACCCAAGGCACGATGCACTCGCGTGAGTTGGTCTGAACCCACAAATGGCTTCAATTGGCGCCCTAGCCCAAAGCGTTTCACCCAACTGGGTAGTGGTTCGGGGGGGGAAGTTCACAGCGGGATTGCAGGTTGTATGCACGTAGTTGAGACCCAATGAAATGTCCGAAGCTACCAAATGAGGAACTAATGCTCTGAGGACGCCGTTGATCTTGCGCGATGAGGATCTACCTTTTCCGACACAACCAACACATACTTTTGAATCAGTCAGAAAAAGATGAACACGCCCATGTTGACGGGGATCTCGGGCTTTACGCACGACCTCACGCCTCAATGCTCGAAGTTCTTGTAGATTCACATGGTGTGTGCGAGCGTGTCTAAAACTGTAGCTGGCAGTTGTCTGCCAACCGGCTCATTCGGCTCAACGGCTGCTCTGTGCCATCCAGTCTCACTGGGGCTTCACAGTATTCGCTCCTACGAAACAGCTCCTTTGCTAAAGCTTTTGCGATGAAAGCTTCCGCGGCAGCTCCAGAACTAGGGATGGCATCAGTCGCAATCAGTTTCTGGCTCCGCAATTCATCACAAATGTCTGCCGGCACTCGTTTCCATTGATTACCCCCCATAGAGTTCACGCCGAAACTGTAAACAGAAACAGGTGTATCCAAGTAACTTTTGCAAGATTTCCTTCGTCGCAAAACCTCCTCTGAGTACTACAGCAATCAATTTCCACAGGTCGCGCCAATTTGCGGAGCTGCCACTGTACCACGGAGGCCATTGACCTCTGCTCCCCATGCCCGAAAACTAGTTTCACCAGTGAACGCCTTGCGCACCGCCCTCTGAAGGTCCGCTTTGACATAAGCCTCTCTCTAGCTTTGTGAATAGACTGCATGTCTTCGCCGTAATCTCGCCCAGCAGCTTACCAGCGGCGCGACGGACATTCCGTCCCACGTGATAACCCGCCTGCGGCTCATAGCCCCCACCGACTCCGGGCAGCCCAAAGTCACGAAGTTGAACCAGGCAAACAAAGTATTAACCCAACGCTTGGCCCACAAAGTCTTCGTTGGTTTACCCTTGAGTCGGCTTCCCCACGCCAGAGCTTCACAAAAAGGGAGAGCACATGGAAACAGCTTGTCATTGTCAGTGAGAACTGGCAAGGTACTTTGAGCGTTGCTAAACCAAGAAACATAACGACTAAACTTCGAATTCTTGCCCGGAAGGAACGGATCGTAAAGCGCCCTCCCAAGTTCAAAAACATGCTTAGCTTCCTCAGATTGGCCCCCACTCACTTCTTGCCTTCTTTGGCATCGTCGTCGTCTGCGCCGGCCAATTCACCTGCTTCTTGAGGCGAGCCAGAGCTGACAAGTGGCCTGAGATCACCGACATTTCTTGTGTCAGCAAACTCCTTTTTGGCCAAAGGGTCCACCAAGCCTGTCAGAAGCCAAGCTGACGTCCAATCTCCCAATTGTAGGGCACATTGCACCTTTGACTTCAAATTCTGGATCGCCTGGGCACAAGCCGCCTCCGGCTGCTGATTGCGGAGAAGTTCGATCACGGCTACATCCTGCATGGCGCATCTCTGGATACCTTTGAACTTGCTCCATGGTTGCCGCTTCACCCAATCTTTCAGCGTCCAACTCTGACCAACCACCACTCCTAGGTCTTGAATCACTTCGCGCTCGAACTCGCGGATGATCTTCTTTGGGTGGTCCACTATCCTCTGCTGCATGTGGTGCAAGGTCTTCACTGCTTTCATTCCCTTGTCCTTGTCGTCGTTGCCCGACACGTCGGAGTCGGAGCCACCACTTGAACTGTCCTCTTCCCTTGCCCGCCGGCTTCGGCGACCTTTGCGGGCATCCTTGTCGAGGAGCTTCATCAAGACAAAGGGAGTGAGGTCTGGCATTTGACTGCTGGCCGCTGCCTGCTGGCTGAGGAGCTGCATCATGAGGTCGTCGACTGAACTCTTGCCTTTGGCTTTCTTCTCTTTCTTTCTGTGGGAACGAGTGGCCCCGCCTGGTGGTTTGAAGCGAAGAGTTTCTTCTTCTGACTCGTCTGACCCCTCTTCGCTCTCCTCTTCGGCTTCGGGGCTTCCCCAAAGCTGACTGAAGGCACCCAGCTGCTTCTGAACATCTGGTGACATTTTGTTCTCCTTGGGTCTGGGGCCTCGGCCTCGCTGCTCACAAGAGACGCTTTCTCTCCCCCAAACCATGTAGCTCTGCTTTTTCGAAGATCCGGCAAATTGCCTCTGACTGAGGAGGGCCAGTGAGCCGGCTTCTGAAGGCCAAGTGCAGAAACGGGTAGCCGCGCAAAGCCTATCTCACTGCGAACTACAGCTGCCGCGAACCCTTCCACCACACCAGGAGCCACAGCCACCACAGCTGTCGCCCCGTCAATCTCCACAACCCAACCAGCTGTCTTCAGGCCGGTCCCATCTCCATCAATCGACAAAGCAAAGAACACGCAGGCACCCTCTCTAGCCATGCTCCTTAAGGGGGCCTGAGCCTAAGAAAGCTTGAGAGGACGTTGCCCTCAATCCCGTTCTTCCACATGAACAGGAAAAACAAGCTTCATTCTCCCTCTTCAGGGAGCTGTGCGATTCGGCTTCCCACAGGTCATTGACTAATTTGTCTCTGTCACTTGTGGCTCGGTGCTGAGATCCTCCTTCCGCAGCAGCGTGGCGGCCACGGCAGCACCTCCAAAGGTGCCCTTGAGAAACGTGGCGATGGGATCAGTCCCCCGAATGGCCTCCGGGCGAAGGTCCTCCGCCAGGGTCGTTGAGAAAAGCGATGGAAAAGCGGAAGTGAATCACGGACCTGAAAGATGTTTTGATCGGATTAGTACGGCGTCCAGCCTGGGGGGAGCGGTCTTTTATGGTCTTTTTCATCAGGTGGGTTTAGGGGTTTGATCAAGTTGGCTTGGGGGGATGTGAGGCCCGCCATTCAGATGGTCATCGCAAAACAGGTGGAAGATGCCAGACACCCTCTCCTTAGTCACTTCGCCCTTTGCAAGAGGGGCTATCTTGGCCTCAGTACGGGGCGGAGCGGCCTGACCAAAGCAAGCACAGTTCAAAAATGACTGGAATGACTGGAAGTTCTGATCCCAGAAATGGTAGGTTGATCATCACAAGATCCCCGTCAACGCAAACATGTTTCGGCATCTCTCCCATCACGAACGGCCTCAAGTTTGGATTCTGGCGCGAAGAGATGTGCCGCAAAGTGCAGGAGAGGGCAGCCAAGAGCTGACGATCTCCCCATCCGAATCTGTACCTGCGCCCCTCCAAAGAAGAGTCTGCCGGAATGGTAGTTGTCCTTTGTCAGCTGGAGCCGAAAGCCACGAAGTTGATTATACTTAATGCACATGTGTTGTGTCCTTCAAGTTTTGGCCTACGGCCCGAGAACCGTAGTAGCGTTTTATGGTACTTGAGAACTTAATCATCATCATCACCATCACCATCACGATCACGATCCTTATCACGATCCTTATCACCATCACCATCACCATCATCATCATCATCATCATCATCATCATCAGTCATCTTCTGTCATTGGTTTCACAACATTGTCATCGGTTTCACAACATAAATTTGTCATCATCAGTTTCACAACATTCTTCGGTGGTCCTTGTACTGTATATTGATAGCTTCTCGGTTCCTCTATGTGATATGGTGGTTCCTGTCTCACTCTATTTTAGATTTGAAAGACTGCAAACACAGCAAGTTTTGCATATTGGGCTTTGGTAAAGGCATTCTGTCGTCTCATCATGCAAATGTCGTGACTTACGTGAGAAGCTTCCAATGGAGGTACATGAATAAGAATGTAGACTTGGCAGCCACAACGGCATGTCGCATTCAGGACTTGAACCGTGCCCAATGAACTGCGTGGAAAACTCTGTCTAAAGGCGTCGCTTTTTCCAGGTGTCACATTGTGCAAATGGGACTTCTCACTGAAAAAAAACACAATTTAAAAAAAAAAAAGCCTTGGAATTGAGGCTTCGTTTGCTGGCCTTCCAATTCAAACACTGCAGAAAACAGCGCTTTTAACGACATTCGTGCCTTGCACAAACGATAAAGACACAAAAACGCGACTTCAGTTTCGGGCTGCCGGGAAATGTGTGTGCCATGTGTTCTATTTCTATGGCCAAACTGACCTTAAAACAATACAATTTCTTGGTGTAGCCTGTGTAAAGAAATTAAGATCAAAACGAAATGGATAGTGGGATTCTAAACGACTAGGAGGCCATCCTTGAGCTTGTCCATTTCAACCTTCCGAAGGCAGATCTTGCCAGCAACTCTTGTTTGCACAGAGATATGATATCACCCAAACGACATGCTGCAAGAACACAGTTGACCACCTTTTCTGCACCTCATCAGAAAGTGAAATCCTCTGCTTTTCGGAGCTTCACACCTGTCCTGACCCTGTCTCACTAGGATGCCTCCCGTGCCAGAGCCTCCAATGACCTCTCCAGCACGTGAAATCAGAAAACAATGAGCAATCTTTGAGCTACTAAAGGCCCCTAAAAGACCATGAACAGCCAGGCAGTACTTCCAAGCATGCCTTCCCCACATCCACCACTCGGAGTCAAAAGGTGGTTGAATCTTACCACGTCTGTCAGTGTGAATTCTCACCGAACCCACCTCCCACTGCGGCATGGCTCATCCTGGAGGCCCGTGAGGGCTGGTAGAAGTTCTAAAACTTAAGAAGAAGGTGGTCCTGTTTATGCTTCAAAATGGAGGACACCCACACTTAGATGTTTCATCAATTCATCTTTCTTGGCAGGTTCTCGGCATGCAGAGGATGTGCGATGCGGCATCCAAATTAGTCCCTTTGTGTAGTGCAGGGCATGCACTGTTGCGTGACAGAGATTGGGTTCCTGGCTCAGCCATGTCCTCATGGCAGGCCTTGTGCCACAAAAAGGTCAGCAGATCTGACAATCGTTATTTTTGCAACGGGCATGCACTCAAGCTTTCCAGAGATGCCCGACAGCTCAATGGCACTCCATGTCTGACACATCCTACCCTCAAAACATCATTCTGGAAATTCATTTTGCAAAGCGTCTGCAAAGTGATTTGTTTAGGCACTCAGTCACCTTTTCAGAACTACAATCGGTCATCACTCACCAAAGGTGCTGAACCTTCCAGGTTCATCTTGGGAAACTCTAAAAGCTCCTACCGAAGGTGTAACACTTGCTAAGGCTTGTTCCACGTGATTGAAAGGATGGCTTTGGAGTCTTGTAGTCTTGTGTCTCAAGCTGTGGGTTTGCTCTGACAGCATTCTCAAAGCCAAGGCATCCTATGCGACAAAAGGAACAGAAGCAACAGGTGCGGTGGATGCAAGCAGAATCCCGCTACCTGCCAGCAATCGCCATGACCGGCCTGGGGCAAACCCTGCTGCTAGTGGCAAAAGCAAATCACTTTACAAGACAATCAGCAATTTGATAGCAAGGGGGTTGTCAACAGGCTTGTGCAAGTCCTTCAGCTGTACACAACAATGAAAACTCAAAGTCCATACACCATTGCATCAAACCCACGTCAGATTGCCAGAGTAGTGCCGTAGCATGACAAAAACAGTGTATGCGCACATGCTCCTCCAGAGCTGCATGTTAAGAGAGCGTGTGACCGGTCACGCAAACTTACAAAAGAATTCATAAGAAACAGAAGGCTGAGGAAGCGTTGCACAGGGCATCAAAACGAGCAAAATATAGGTAAAAGTCAAGAAACACAAAATATTGAAAATAGAACAAGGTTCTGACCAGTGTCGTAAGGTGTATCACGACAACAGTGAATCCCTAGCAGCAGCTTTTCCGTGTCCGATATCCCCATGCAAATCGGATATTCTAGTGACACATAGTGACGCGAAGTTTGAAGACCAATGGGAGACTTTTTGCCGCTCCGACTTCTGAGAAAAACCCAGTGACACTTGGGCCGCCATCCGTCCTTTTTCCAAGAAGCCTTTCTTGGAACAATCGATGCTTATTATTTGGGCATCGAGCACGTTGGCTACCTTTGCAATTGGACAAAGCGGTCCGCTTCAGCTTCAAGCCTGGCACGCGTCCAAACGATCAGAGAAACAAGCTGGCTTCCGAGACGTCATAGCTTTCAACGGACAAAAAAAGATTGTTTCAAAGGCATGGTCCATGGTACAAACTAGCTTTCGCTATACCAATCATCAGAAAACCCCTGAAGATACCCTTCCCCAAACTGCTACCCCTCCAATGATCTACAAAGATCCTCAAGAAGGATTTGCACGATTTGCAAGATCCCTTCACGGAGAAGGAAGCCACTAGTAACAAAGGGCATCGCTACTAGTTGTTGTCGCTCAGTCTTTGAGTATCTTGATATCTGCCGAGATACAAGCTCTCTCGGTCCCGGTGTTTGGCGCGAAGACCCTTGCACCTGGGGAGAAGCTCTGTTGGGGCAAAAAGAGAAACCGAGAAAGCGTTGTTCCGAAGCCTGAATCAGGAGAAAACGTCATGTCTAAGTTAACCCTGAATCTAAACAAAGCCAAGACCCTTGATCCAGGGAACAATACAACACCTGAATCTAAATGAACAAGTCAAAAAAGTCTGTATCCTCGAGTGAAGCCTCCATATTCTGAGGTACCCCACCCAGGAAATCATAGCATGGGTGTCCTTTTCGTTTGTAGATCCTCTAATGAATCTTGCCACTGCGGCAAGGTCATAAGCCAGCTGAGGAGCAAGAGCGAGCCCAGTAGGAGCAGCAGAAGGAACTGCAAGCTACAAAGAGCAACCAAAGCCTTGACAAGGGCAAAGCCAATGCATTTGCATTGTTATTGCGAGTCATTGTCAGAGTCATTCCAGTACCAATGATCCGACGATGTTGTTTCTTGCATCAAAAACCAACGTGGGTAGGCGGCCAGAAGAAACTTGAACAGTCGCAAAATGTTTCCACGATCCCTCTACACCCCACCAGGCTGCCTGCGTGTAGATGTCTGTCCTGGTCCAAAGACTCCACGGTCTGTCTGAAAGGCCGCTGCGATCGCTGGAAATCTGCAGGAAAGGGACGACCTCAGTCTTTCGGTCTTGGATTCGCTCCAGAGCACACAACCTCAAGTTCCCATGTCTTCAGTGACGAAGAATTATACAACTTTGCATGTGTTTCTTGAAAGGCCATGTATCCGCTGAAATAACGAATTAGAATTGGCCCGACATGAGAGAGCATGAAAGACAAGGACAAAGAGGAAGTATTCTCAGGGTTCTGCAACTGCCAGTAAATCGGCCAAGCGATAGCCAGCCAATGCCAATTGTCTTTTGGAGATCCTTCGCACTTTGGCTATGTATTCCTCCTTGGATTCATGCATCATCATTTTCTGAAACTTGCGAGGGCATCGGGCCATCCCCACTTCTACAACTACATGCGACGTGGCTGAACAAAAGCCGTCATCGCTGTCGTTGGAAGTTACTTTTCTCGGAAGTTGCAATGAACAGAAGAACAACCCCTACTGCCAACCACATGTGTGAGTTGAAATAGAGCTTCCCCTTAAAGGGAGGCCGTCTCCTGGTTCCCTGTGAACTCTTGGAAAGCAAATGAGTATATATTAATATATATTGAGTCAAACAGCAAACACAAAATGTCATTGACACTCCTTCGAGCTATACTGGTCGCTGCGTCGTTGTCTTGATGTTCCTCTGTGAAGTATGTGGCCTTGTGGTCACTCAACTTCTCCTACTGTGATTTTTGCTGATGTAGAGATGCACGCGGGTGTGATAGTGCTTGCAGTTGTGAACGACTTGTTGTTGTTGCTCTTGCCGGTGACGTTGCTGCTGCTGTTGCTGTGGCCGCCGCCGCCGTAGTGTTTGCCCCCTCTCCCCCCCCACCTTTGTCGTTGTGTGGTCATTGTCGTCGTTGCGGGGGATTGGATGGATTTTGGAGTCAGAAAAGCGTTGACTCCAGGTTTAAGCCTTCGGAAGTGCCTGTCCTAAAAGGGTATCGTCTAGTGGTTGGACATTGAGATTGAAGCTCTTTGGCGGGGCTGCTTCAAATGTCCTCAAATCAGCTTCCATCTGGATCGACAATGCGTCCACACATGTGACCTGCAAACTTCCACAAACCAGCTTCTCACGCATTCTCTAAAGGTTGGACGGCTCACGCTTCACAATCTCCTTCTTCGTGCTTGGCTTTGCCAAGGGGCACGTTGCCTCATAATGGTTATTGTTCAGGTGAACTACATACACTTCAGGCCCCCACACAGATGAATGGATCAAGGGCGGCGGTTCAAAGCGCCTTTCATGTTCATGCTCTTGATCGGAAAGCACTAGTATGGGGCGCGGAAGGAGGTGCGCAGATGCACACAAGGTCAACTCGTCCCCCCAAGATTGGGGACGTGACATCTCACTGGGGCCACCTCTGAAGGCACTACGAAAGTCATAAAGTAAGCTGCCATAGGAATGTACCACAATCAGATTACCTCCAGCTTTTCTTCCCTGAGAAGCCGCATGGTAACAGCTGAAATCTAAAAGCGAGCTGCCAAGCGCACCTACCATAGTCATATCACCTGCAGAGTTCATTCCCTAGAGCAGCAAACGTAACATAGCCAAACTCCAAAAATACAGCAACTCATTGCTGTCACAGCACCAGTGGACCCACCCTGAAGTCAAGCCCTGAAGCATTGAAGCTGACAAGCAAAAACAGACAAAATCCAAATCACAACTCTTCCAAAACACGGGCAAAGGAAAGGAAGGGTTGACCTTATATCCACATAAAGGTGGCAGGCACCACTAGTAAAAATTGGATGGAATCTGGAGCTAAGCCTTTTGAACTCCAGATTCCATCCAATTTCGCCGTTGTGGTGCTTTTCCCGCTGTGTTGTTGCTTCTCACTGTTCTGACCTTGTTCTTGCGTTAGTGTTTATTTATCAATGCGTTTGTTCTTTATTGTTCTTGTCCTTGCTGTTGCTGTTGCCATTTCTTGGTGTTGTTGGTGTTGCGGCTGCTGCGGCTGTCCCTTGGAGCGGGGGGGAGCATACGACAGCGAAGGAACAAACATGAACTGAATACGCGAGTGTTTCTTCAAAAACTCCACGCCTATCGGAAATTGTTGGCCACCGAGTTTGAGGTGTCCATATATTGCACAATTGGTCGAAAGAGCTACATTGCTGCGTCTTGGATTCCGAAACAGTTTCATTTGCCCGAACGCCATGATAAGCAAACTTGACTGCGACCTCATGCACCTGGATAGCCCACTTTTTGAAGACCTCAGAAGAGCAGCGCACTTGACTGGTCCAAATTAATGTGTCAAACTTCAACATGGACAACGCTCTCACAAAAGCCTCATCAACTAAAAAACATAAACCAACATAGACATAGCGCGCAACTACCTGATGCAAACCAGCGCCCCGGGCGCGTTGTACACCATTCCCACCACAATCATTGTGCAGCCAGAATGCCCGACCACAATCATTCCTCAAGAAGCACGATGTTTCCGTGTCATTCAGTTCCTGCACCAGAGTTCGTGAGCCAAAGAGAGCTGAAAGCAACCAGACAGAGTTGTTTCACATGTTTTCTTGTTTAGAAACATTGATGTGACAAGGGATGTGGGTTCTTTACCTTTCGTCAGGAATCGATGGGTCGAACTGATGTCAACTACCGAAGAAACAGCATGCATGCTTGCACAAAATCACATAGGGGTGGACGGAAACACCCACAACCTGCCAGCTTTGGACACACACTCGAGATAAGAGTTCGTACAACATGCGATTGCCACTCGAAGAGGTCAGAGTCTAAGTGAACAGGAAACCTAAGGGCGCAGGCGCAGGTGCATGCCACGAGGCCCAAAAATAGAAAAGCCCAAGAGACCCAAAACGCTCTGAAGTTCCGAGGGCCCAAATGGTCAGAGGTCCAGAGGTTCAACCTCCAAGGTGACACCGAAGAGTTGAAGCGAAGGCGTGACTGCCGACCTAGAAGAACTAAACACCCTTCCATCTCTACGATTGCACGGTAATTGGAACGCTGGCAACCATATAGCAGGCACATAACTCCAGCGCCCCGGCGATATATCACAGTGCAACAAATGAGTCTTTGTTGGCTGAAGACATCTAATGCACACTCCAGCCCCCTGCTGAAAGGTAAGAGAAGGAAAGCGCCGAAAGGCTGCTTGTGAATTCAAAGTCGTGTGTCACTTAGGTGACCCCGCAATGATAGCTGAACTATGACTGTTGCGAAGCCACATATCCTCTTTCAGATCTGTCGGACATGAAAAGTATGACGCCCCTTAGCATGGGACAGTGTCTCGCACCCCATCCACCCACTGACTGTCCACTTCATCTTGCGTTTCTTCGCGCATGGAGGCAACGAGGCGAACCTCGTTGTCAAAGCCTGGGGCACTTTGCCTAGTTAAGGTTGTGTGTACGCCGCACGCGTAGTTAAGACCGAAGCAGAGATCCAATGATCTCAATCGAACGCATGGTCACTCCAACCACCTTGCGCCCTCTCACAATGCTGCCCTAGGCCATCCGGCCTGCTCCCTTTGCCTTAAAGGGGGAAAAAGACCAGCCCCTGTTCGGACAGGGCCACGTTCGGGCTCATTTCGTGCCTCAGGAAAAAGGGTACGTATGGAGGCCATCAAAGCGAAGAAACCTTGGTGAAAAGGGGGGCCTGAATCAAAACAGGTAAGAACTTACTTGATCACAAATTGGTAAACTAAGGGAAGTACATCAGCACCAAATATGAATCAAGCTGGCTATAGCCGAGTAAGAGAAGGGCAGCAAGTAACGTGTAAAGTCCAATCCATAGGTGAAGTGATCCCGCTCAAAAGCCATAAGGCTCCCTGTCACTCCAAAGGTTACACACAAACAAGCAAACAATCAAAAAACAAACAAACAAACAAACAAGCAGAGAGAAGGTGTAGACATTGCTAGGACGTCCGAAATGGTTCAACATAAAAAGGGGAAGAGATGCTACTTGAAAAGTTCTTGTAAACAAAATACAAAATCTCCAAATGCATTTGGAAGCCCGACTCCCGACAAAAACAACAATAACATGCACTAGCAACCAGCCCAACCTCAGACAGTGCCGAATGCCTTTGTCAATCTGTCCTGCAGGCTACTTCGAGGAAATGCCCTCATGATCTCTGAGGCATTCTGCCGCAATTCGACCTAGACGCCAACCCCCAATCACCCAATCACCCCTGTCATATCCCTCAAATACGTTGGACTCATCCGTATTCCGGTATCCACAATTGCTTGGATGATGTTGGTGTTTCTTCGCCAGTTATAAGGACGCTCAAATTGGAATGATGGAGAACCATTGTCCTTGAACAGTGTTGGTCCATTCCGAACAAACTGTGGAAGGTGGGGTGCTTGAAATTGACTGGCAAAATGCTTGGGATCGCCCTCGCCTTTCATGGTTGAGACATCAACTTTGGAGGGGCCACTCGGTCCCTTTCCCCATGTTTTTAGAGGGGGATGTGTACTGCACAAGAATTGTCGGGGTCCCTAGGTAGATTGTTTTGGTGGATCCACGATGCAACTGCGCTGCCAAATCAACCCAATGAGTTCTAACAGCATGGAAGAAAGCAACAAGCCAGAAAATGAAACAAGAGTTGGCAACTGGAAGCAACACAGTCTTATCGACTGACCATTTGCAGCAAAACGAGCCCTGGAATAGCACACAACTTGAGGAGACGGGGGTGGACGAAAGGTAGCATGTCTGCGGAGGAATGCCTACGAAGGAGCAGGGGTAAAAGAAACAATCCAAATCTGGGATGCCTCCTGGGTCCCAGGGGGGCTACCTTTCGTGACAAGAACACCAAAAGAGTCGAATTCAAAAGACCTGTCAAGAATTAGACAAAATAGAACTGAAATCAACTCTAAGGACAACTAGTCCTGATGTGTGACCAATCCAGACCTACTTCCCATTCTAAGACCACTTTGATGTGTTTGTTTCAAGTCGCCCATCTACTGCGTTCATCTTTTTACTGCGGTCTCTTTCAAAGCTGCCTCCGGGACCAAAGGCCATTCATCCAGGAAAAGCCCTCCAGCAGCATCCCAGAACAAATGCAAACTTCTGAGCTCCTTCCATGGTGATTGGATCCTGCAAACAGGCCAGCCCCTGGGAGTTTTGCTGAAGACCAGCTGCTTCCTTCAAGTGCTCTGGCATTATTGCGACTATACTATATAGCTACAGCGAGGTCTTCAAGATCACTAGCATCATTCTCGAAAATAATTGTTCTCATACACCACAAGTACTTGCAATGTTGGGGGAAGACATTGCTTTTGAATTGCATGGGCTCAAACTACTTACTGTAGTCAAACACAACACTTGTGCGGATGGATTCGCCATGAAGACGTATCCCAAAAATAATTACCCCTGATGAACTGAACATACTTGAATATATAAATATAGTTAAATATATCTCAGAGTGTATGCTTGACATCAGTAGAGTGAAACTATATAGTTCTTGAATAAGGAGAAAGCACAAGCTCTGTCCGGATCAGATTGCCGCCACGGTCTCCCAAGACATCTCCAAATCGGGTATCATTGAAGACACCTTGTGCCGCATGCAATGGCTGATGAAGATCTGCCAGGATGTGGATAGCCTGAAATATGCGCCCAAGGGTTTGCAAAGTGTGAAGCGATCACGTCGCTAGACGCTACAATTGAAACAACAGAAAGTAACCGAGTGCGGCTGAGGCACCATACGAAGCATGAAGTTCACCGCAAAGGTGGATTGAGATGAAGAAAAGGTACCTGTTGATGTTTCTTGAAGAGCAAAATGTTGAAACCACCGAGCAGAGCTGGAAACAACTCGGCAAATGACATGACATGATCCATGATGCAATCTAGGAACCAAATCATTCAGGCTCGGGCTTCAAGGTCGTCTACCCCCCGTTCTAATAGCAATGGCCTCCATAGCGATGGCCTTCGCCCTAATAGCGATGGCCTCCGCCCCAATAGCGATGGCCTCCAACCTAATAGCCATGG